GGAAAAAACCCCAAACATCTGAGATTAATTCTGTGTTTACAGAGGTTATTCTGAGATGAACTGCTTGTACAAACAATACCAAATTGAACCCTACAGACCAAACACCAGTGTGTTCCCTGGGACAGAAGAATATCAAGTGAGTTTTCAAACATTGAGGAAAATCTTGCTAGGGACATAATTGTTCAATAAATTCAAGAGGTAGAAAATTTGAGCCGCCAGAATCTGTTTTCTGACAAGACTCTATAAAACACTCTGAAGACCACCTAATTTTGAGTGGGAAGGTGGCAGATGAGAAAACCCCAAATCCATTAGAATTCAGGAGGGTCCTTGGATAGACAGTCAATCCATCAGGCTGCCAAGGAGAAGGATACAGGTTCTGCTGGTGCCAAGGGAATTGTGGTGCTTAACTACACTGCTACTGAAGTTGTGAATGAAGGAATAGGACCTGTTGAAACAAAAGAAGAGTGAAACATTCTGTCTGATGTGTCTTGACAAGGCACTTGAGCAGTATTCAACACTCAAATTATTACAGAAAGAATTGGGTGATTCAAGAGACCTGAACAAGGAAAATATTGAATTAACTGTCACCTCTGATGAAGCAGAATGGAGCAGGGACTCCCATTAAAAAAAAAAAAATATTATTAAAGTTTTCATGTAATGCCTCTCAGTTGCTTTTTGAATTCATTTTTAAGGACTTTAAGACTGTCCAAAAGTGGGAGCTGCAGACTCCACTTCATTGTGTCACCCTCAGGTGCTTCAGAAGGTGACAGAAGTGCCACCCAGGCTCAGTGACTAATGCCTGGCTCTGCTCTGGGTTTCTGGGCTCAGCTTCTCCCTGGGCTGGCCATGGCCATGGTTCCTTTACTGGAAGGGGCTTATTGTGATTAAAAGGGTGTCAGGATGACTGTTCTATCTCAGGACTGACCATTCTGCCATGCCTGGTGATGGGGCCCAGACATTTCCAGAAGTTCCACCTGAAAGCAGCTGTCCTTGCACAAAAACCAGGGATAATCATATGCTGGAGAGATGGAGAGGTTGAGCTCAGCTCCCTGCTGTGCCAGTACTTTTTAATTTGGAATTGCCAGGAAAGATGCAACTGCAACCTGATTTTTGTCTCGAAAACACTAAAATGAGCCAGAAATCACAGGCTTTAAGTGTTCCAGGCATTTTAATGATGGTGAAGGTCAAAGACAAAGTGCAGACTGTGGCAGTGAGGGGGTGTCAGAGACAAATTGTTATTTCCACTGCAGGAAGTGGAGCTCAGAGGGGGAAGGCAGACAGGCTGCAGGGAGAAGGGAGGCCTGCAGTCAGCACGAACAGAAATGACATTCCCAAGCACGGCTCCATCATTTACTGCAGCTGAGAAAGTCCCAGGATCCTCCCATCCCTGTAGTGACAATTGGAGGGGTTACAGAGAAGGGAAATGGAGCTTTTAGGGAAGGGGGCTCTGGGATATGGTGGTGCTGGGACAGGCAATTTCTCCTCGATGATTATCCCGTCAGCTCCAGCTGGGAGAGTGGGATAAGAGAGGGGAGCAGGTGGTTCTGACTCCCCCCAGAAGCAGGTTTGCTGCAGTCTAAATCCTGGGGCTGAGAGGAGGGTACCAAGTGAAAAGCTAAAGCTTTTTGTTTCATTTGGAGTAGGGTTTTGTTTGTTTTATTTATTGAAGGGTAAATGCCTTAGCTTGAGCTGTGCTCTTGCAGGGCTTTTGAGTTAACAATAGAGGGTGTATTTGTGAAAGGTGCTGGAAAACCCTGGTGGCTGCATGGAGCTCTTCCTGGGTGAGTAAATATTGTACTGGCTCATACAATGCAACAGGAAAAATAGCAATACTTCAGCAAGCTCTTACTCCTTGTTTGGGAAATGTAGCCCTCTTTGTGCTCAGTTAAAAGCAAACTTTAAGGGTGAAAGCTTTGTGTTTTTTCTGTGTGGCTCTCCCAGAGACAGCATAAAAAGACATTTCCAGAGGTTTTTTGCCAAATCACTGATGCCAATGATACTGGACTCATGTGGCTGGGACCCAGTATCATTTACAAGAACACAAATTCACTGTTTCTGCAAATTAACTGAAGGATTCTTTTGCCTTTGAAAATCAAGCACTGAGATAATGTATTGGCAGGCAGGAAAGGGAGAAATTCATTTGCAGAGGCTCGCTAGGCTCAAGATAGAACTCCACAAAGCTGGGAAAAACAGCTTTCTGTGGCTCTGCTGAGTTCCTGTTAATTACTTAGCCAGACATGACCTTGCACAACTTCTTCAACACCAGGGACCAGGAGATCTTCTGTGGTAAACAGAGCCCATAATAACCCTGTTCTCTAATCTGTTTCTGTAGCTGATGCCACCCTTTATAAAAGTGTGTGTGTGTCTATATATATGTTTATCTCCCTGAGGCACCTAATTGACAAATGGCTTTGTGAGGGAATAAGAACATTTGGGTCGCAGGAAGTCATTACACAGGCACAGGTTGACTTGTTTGATTACTGTTACATGCCAAGATTGCTATCAAGGGGCTGGCTGGGTATTAAAGCATTCCTGAGGGGTTTGGGTAGGCATGGCACCTTTAGAGAGCCCAGCAGAGAGTCCCCAAATCTCTGCTCTCTGTGAGCAGCCACAGTCCCTCCTCCCAAAGGCAGGGCAAGGCTTTGCCATCACTGAAATATCAGCCTCCTAAGTAGTTATTTTTGCCTCTCAAGCAGAGCTGCTGTGCCTTCCAGGGTGAAGGCAGGTCTGCTGGTTCTTAATTGCCTCCTTCCCCAGTGACTTGGGAGATTGTTCTCTAACTGGCTGTAATTACCCTTTTCTGTAAACTAACCAAAGTGCACTCTGCTTTCCGTGTTATGCTCATTAACAGGATTCTCTTCTGCGGGTTAATGGATGCTGGGAATGTCCAGTCTGTAGGAGCAGACTGATTTGTGTAGCAAGTGTTTGTGAGTTACCCTGAGGAACAAATCTCTGCCAAGTTTGCAATGAAATCCATAACGTTGAGGACAGAGTATCTGTGGGTGCTCCAGTTGCAGGGTGGATTTATGTGTGAAACATTCACCTAAAAATGGGAGAAAAACTTTTTATTGTCCCCAAAAGAGAGCTTGAGGGGAAGGTTCTTTCTGAGCTTGTGCCTGCAGGAGATTTTTCCCTGTGGTTGGTGTTTGTGGTGTGATTACTTGTGTGAGGTGAGGAGGGGATTTATCCTATGAGTGGCACTTCTGGTGTTTTTGTGAGGAAGGTGGGCTGCTAATTTGGCATTGAGAAATGTGGGGAAAATGAAAGCTTCCCTTTGTACCCTGACTCAAACATAATGAATGAAAGAAGGCTCACCAAGCATTGCTTGGAAAAAAAATTAAAAATGTCTGAATCCCAGGCAGAGGTTTTTCCTTGTTATAGTTTAGTTATTCAGCAGCGTGGACTGGTTGGTTTTCAGACGGATAAAGGCAAGATGCACATAAATACAACTCTGAATGCTTTTAACAGCCTCCAGCTCTAACTGCAGCCCCTGGATGTGGAGTTTTCTGCCGTGTCTCCTATAATGAGCGCAGAAGTGTGGCTGCTGTGCCAAGCACAGCTGGAAAGGTTTGCCTGGCAGTGTTGTTGACTGCTGGACAGTAATGGGGGTGACTTGGGTTTTTTCCTGCATAATGAGGTGATTCCAGTGAGAGCTCAGCCCTGAATCTCCAAGCGTCCCTGCGTGGACACCGCTCTGCTGGCACTGGGGGCTCTGGAACTGCTGTGGAACAGTAACATGAAGGCTTCCTTAGTGCAGCAAACCACATCAGAAAGGTGCTCTCAGAAAGGTGCAGGCAGGAAGCTATTGCTGAAAAACTTGTTTCACAAGTGCCTTTGGAGTGAGTTTCCTCTTGTGTACGAGCCCTTGCTCAGAGCATTTCCCCACCTATTTCCAGAGAGAAAGCACTTGATGCACAGTGCTCAGATCTCAAAGGCACCAGGCACTCCAAGTGCTTGGTGCTCAGAATCAGCCCCGATGAGCATTCATACACCTGATGTGGCTAATGGCTGTTCTGATGTGCAAAATTGTTTCAATTGTATGTGAGACTACTGCTCTTGCTGGGTGTTTGGCTACCCCAAAGGTCTGGAGAGGAGGCTGATGAACATAGAAATTGCAGAAATGGAAATAAGGGTTTAGAAATGAAATAGAAATGTGCTTTTGAAAACAAAAGGCTTGCTTATTGTTCCTGAAAACATTGGGTATTTACAGGAAAAACCCTCCAGAATAAATGCTGGAGATTGTGATATTGCATGCTTAGGGATTCAATTAATCTCTATGATTCCCACATGTGGAAAATGACAAGAAATAACTGTCATGCTGTTGAGCTCTGTCTATTCTTTCTGAGCTGCACACATCTTTGAGAATTACTCTGACCAAATTTAATGGTGTCCCTGGATACAACAAATCAGGAAAATAAGTGTGGAAGAGCCCCCAGTGAGTAGTCTGTGGGCCTTTCACTCTGTCAGATGGTTATGCCACTTGCTCAAGTGCATGATGTGCTTCCACCCTGTAACTGGTAACTTTAAATGCTTGCCTGCTAGTCTGTAATGAGAATTATCCTGATAACTCTTAGGAGTCATGCTGGGGCTGTGACTTCTTCAGGCTCTTTTTTTCCTTTTGCTCTTTGTTTTTTTTAAGTGCAGTGATGGTGAGGTTTAAAAAGGCAACAGTCTTGCAGTGTTCTGGCTACTTGACAGCAATAGTGAGAGAAATAATACAGAGCAGGCCTCTAGAAGATATTATGTATGTGCAAGATATTATGTATGTGCAACATGTGTATGCCCCTACATAGACACATCCATAAGTCCATCTCTGTATGTTTGTGGGAAAAATGCCTTTTCATCTCAGGCTGTGGTTTATGCATCTGCTGGCTGCACTTGTGCACTTCCAGCCCTTACCAGGAAAAAGGGCTGCTCAGCTTTTACAAGCTTTGCCTCCTTTTAAACTCCCATTAGCACGCACCCGTGTCTGGGACGGTATCCCCCCGTTGTTGCCTTACCTTCACATCGTTGACGTTCATCCTCGTCCCCTCCTTCCCCACGAAGATGTCGTCGATGTCCACCAGAATGTACCTCTCCAGGGAGAGCGTCAGCTTCTTCCCCGACAGGAAGGAGATGGCGTCGATGAAGATGAGCTTGTGGAGCCAGAAGGTCAGGTTGTTCCCAAAGAGGACTCTCTGGATGCCGTCGTGCAGGCCCAGGTCCTGGATGACGGTGGCGTGGAGGGCGGCGCGGGGCAGCGAGGCCGGGGTGGGCCGGCCCCCGTGGGGCTGCAGCTCGCCCAGCAGCACGGGCTGGTAGGTGGAGTGGTTGAACTGGAACACCGTCCAGTCCTGGCCGGGCAGGGGGCCCTGCTCCAGCCGGGGCGCTCTGGTGATGCGCAGCAGGGGCGAGCGAGGGTTCACCACGCAGTCCCGCAGGGCCACGTTGTTGTACAGCTGCAAGGGCAGCCCTTTCAGCCTGCTGCTGGGGGAGCTGTTCTCGTTGGCTTTATGAAAACCAATTATGCTAGCACTGTATTCCACACAGTATTTTTCCAGAAGCTCTCTATTCCACGAGTCCATGGACACATACTTTAAAATATTCTCGTATATAACGATGGTGTACTTCCCTCTCCCGTTGTCTGTGAGAGGGGGAATGTCCCCCTTGGCTGGCGCAATGACCATGTGGTACTGAAACCTGCTGGACTCGAGGATGGCTACAATGTCTTGCCCCAGCTGGGAGTACTGGCTTTCCACGAACAGGAGCACAGTGGGATCAGTCCTGGAGGGATCAATTGGCTTAGGTGTTCTCAGCTCTGCAGACCTGTAGGGCAGAAGTTTGAGGTCCTCGCACTCTGCTTGCCCAGTGGTTTCCACGAGGGCCATTTCCTGCTTGTAGCCAGTGTAGAGGAAATAGGCGGAGATGACAATACTTGCCAAGCAGAAGGTGGCCAGGAGAATGACCAGCATTCGGAAGCTTCTGTGGAGCTTCCCGATGAGATTCATCTTTGGCAGGGCTTCCAGTTCCTGCTGGACTTAGCACTCTTCCAGGTGCTCCTCCTAATGTGCCATGGGAATGAGGAGTTGCAGAAGTTCCCTTTCCGAGGTGTTCATGTGACCATTGCAGTGCATTTATGAGGCGTTCGGGGAAGCTGTAAGGCTGTCGGAGCGGGAAGTCAAAGGATCGGGAAAGACAAATTGGAAGAGGTTTTCTCACAGAGCAGCAGCTGCCAATAATCGATGAAGAGGACTCTTAACATTATCTGCAACAAGAAGTAAAAGAAGAGTAAGTAAAACAAAATCCATAAAGCAATTAAAACCACACATTAATAAGGCCAGTGATTGATACTGGTAATGTGAGTAAAGAGGGAAGTTCTGAGTAGTTCAAGGAGCACTCAGTGTCACTTGCTTTCTTGGTGCATTAAGATAAACTGCATTAAACAGCTCCCCCGTGTTCTTAGGATACAGAAATGAACTCTGAAGAAAACTAGTTGAGGATGTGCATCTCCTTATCTGCTTGTCTTATCTAAAATGTGTCGTTACTATTGCAGATGGAACAATGGAAGATTTTAGGGGCAACGTTTGGACCAAGTGAATGTTTGTTAAATCTGGGACCATACTCTGCATCAAATTCAAACTGCATAAGGTATAAATTCTGTGTTGGGTTGAAAAACTAACGTTACCAAAGTGAAAGATATGACAGGAGTTTGAGGAGAGATTTGTAGGGCTTTCTCTCCAGTTTCCATTCTGCACTTAGAGCAATCAGAGTTCATGGTCTGGTTTAGGAGCTATTAAGATTCTGTGGGGATTTTCCAAATGAATGAGCAGGCTGCTACTAATGTGGGGTACGGCTGTGCTTGGCTCTGCCTCCCTCAGCGATCAGTGGGAGGTGCTGTGTAGAAGGAGAAGTACCTCAAGGAAGCTGTTTTAGTGCTGGGTGGGCAAGGAGGTGGTGTGTGTGCTGGTCCATGGCACCTCTGGCTGAAGCCCTCAGCCTCTGGTCTGTTCCTGTATGCATCAAGGACAGGGTGCTCAAACCTCATTGCTCCCAAGCCCTTGTGCAATTCCTGGCAGTTCTGCCTAAGTTCATGAGAAATTGCCACTGGTAACAGTAAACCCCATGATTCAGAGGCAGTTAAAGCTAACTAAATAAATAGCCTTTGCTGCTCTATGAATTTAAGCAGGAATTAACATCTTTGTGAATTATTGATATTGGTTGTTTATTGGAACAATGTGAGACAGTAAACAATGAACTATTTTGGAACTGCTGGGAAGAAATGCTTTTTCCAGTCAGATCCTTCCCAGCTGATGTGTCCTCTGCCATTAACTCAGATTACATTTTTGACTTGTGTGCTGAAAACTATTCATTCATCTTAAGGTTTGCACCTAAAACTGGAAAATGCTTGTAAGAAGCATTTAGAAAGAAGAAGTTTGTTTTCTGAGACCATTTGTGACGCTGGTGGGTTGAAGCTCTTATCTAATTTACCTTCCTCAGCTGGAAGTTTGGAAGGAGATATTGAGACCCCTGGATTCTGGGCTGTTCCAGTAGTGACCCTGCTCTGTCACATAACTGGCCAAGAGGGGAGTGAGGTAGGGACAGAAATAGGAAACCTCCTATGCATTTACTCATTTCTTGTGTGTGAGAGAACAAATGTAAGAGGAATTACAGCTACCATTAGGAAATTGAAGTCATCCTGATAATCTTAAGACCATTTGCCCTGCTTTGGTGCTTCCCTTGTTCTACAATTGTCTGCCTGCTGAGATTTCACTTCTTATTAAACCTCCAATTAAGATTCCCTCAAAAGATAACACCGGATCAAGTGAAGCATCCTCTGCAAGACGGTGCTGGAGTTTGGGTGGCATTGAGGACTCGCTCAGGACTTTATCAGGTCAGGACTCCTGCTCTCCGTGGAGGGGCAGCCTGCAGGGCTGGGCCGTGTGTCCCCGCAGCAAAGAGCGGACTGCAAAAAGCCTGTTCGGTCAGCACCAGACAGGCAGGTGCCTGGGGAAGAGCCTTGGACTCCCGCTGCCCGGGCTGTGCATCCTGGGCTTGCTTTGGGCGCTAGAGGGCGATCGCTTCTCGCTTTTGCAGCGCGCTGCCCTGCTCCGGCCGCGCTCCCGCCACAAGGCAAACCCCCAGGGCACCCGAAACACCTTCATTAACACTCCGGTGTTTAAAATGAAATGAAAGCCAGGAGTTCTGCTCGAAAAAATGTGCCGCTGGATCACCCTGGGTGGTTTGCAAAGTTTCAGCCTCCACCTGTGGCACAAGGGAATAGCTTGTGAGAAGACCTGAAATGGCACGGTTTTTCTGCAGTATTTGGCCCTGCTGGATCTCCTGGGTACTGGTATTGCAAGTTGTCAAAACAATCAACTTCACCAATATTATAGCTTGTGTTACTAAAACAGGAGAAGGCCCTGACTTTATACTAGTCAAAACAAAAGTATGGTCTTCATCCCTAATTATTTCCTCCCAATAACACTGGTAAAATCTCATTGAGACAAAACATGAATAGTCAGATTTCATATTAGCTACTATCTGTTGTATGTAGACATTGTAATTAAGTGCGAGTGTTCCCACTTATTGAGATGCATAATTACCTAAAATTGATAAAGAATTTAAACTTGCATAAGGAAACCTGGCATTGGAGCGGACCTTTTTTTAGTCTGCCCATTGTTTTTCAACTGCTTTGTTGAACTGATTATACTGTTCAATAAAAAAAAAATGGTGTGAAGTAATTAAAGGTTATGAAAATAAATCAGCTAAATTAGCCATTAGTGGAACTTTCTCCAAGGCATAATTGGAAGTTAAGTGCCATTTGTGCCTTTGAAACTCTCCTCCTTAAAGTTCAACAGCTTTGCATTCACTCCAGAATTCAACTATCTTCCTAGAGTTCCGTTGCTAGATGTATTTGAGCAACATGAAAATAGGCCATATTTCATAATTAGTGTTACTTATGGAGCTTCATTTTGGTAACTGGTATTTGAGGTCCTGTGGTCACTGATGAGCACACAGTGACTCTTCAGAGAGGTAAAGGCCAAAGCTGGGTGCATTTGGTTGAGGAATCAAGGCTGCACTCATCCAGGGTTGGTCCTTCAGTAGATCTTGTCCATTCAGCTGATTTCCTCCATGTGGGGCCCAGCAAGAGCAGAACGCTGCAGTACAGCTCTGTTGTGATGTCAGACACATCTGCAGGGACTCTAATTTTTCTTTAATTCAGGCAGCTGAAGAAAAATGGAGGTTTAAAAATTGCTGCCTCCTTGCTAAATAACACTTCCTGCTTGCCCGCAGAAAGGCGTGTGATGGATGACTAAAGCGTGCTACTTCTGAAGATGATTGATTGGGAGATTAGGACTTGACTATTTAAAACTGATGGCACGACAGCCAGGAGAAGCAGCCCCCTGGCAGTGCCACGTGGTAGCTGTGCAGCAGGAACTGAGGCTGGCTCCTCATGGGCAGCTCCCACGGGCGGGCACAGCTTCCCCCAGGGCTGGGTGTCTGAGCCAGCACACCTGGTGTGTGGGCTGGGGGAGCTCCTTTTGCCTCTGATCGTGGTGGGCAGAGGATCCCTGAGCTCCTTGAGCTTGTGGGAAGTAGAAATAGGGATGTGAAGCCATCAGCTGTGCTGGCTCACCCTGAGGATGGAGCTAATGGGCTTGGCATCTGCAGAGGGCTCAGAGCGTGGCAATGCTGGCACTGCCCAGCAGAGCAGCAGGGCCCTGGTTGTGCCACAGCACTGTGGCCATTCCCAATCTCCTGTCTGCACCACAGGGCACTGCTGGGAGCAGTTCACCTGGAGGCAGGCCAGAGCTTCCCCTTCCTTATTCTGTCATCAATCAGAAGTCAGAATGTCTTTATTGTCTATATATAAAACTTCCCTTTAGGCTAAAAGCCTAATGTAAAGCCTTTCCCTTTTCTTTCTAAGCTTGTATGACTCCTGTCATTTACTGCCAGCCCAATGAATTATGACAGCTGCCTTGCTGCTGCTTGCATGAGACTCCTCATTCATTACAGAAACAAGCAGCCTGATTTGAGTGATAAATGACTCCTGGTGACCATTTGCAAAAATTCAGGGTTTCTGTTCACTGAGGAAGGAGAAAAAGAGCATTTTTCTTTTCTTTCCCTCAGAAAAGTTTCCAGGAGATTTTTTTGGCTGAGCTCACAAAACTCACATCCTCTTTGAAAGTAATTCTTTTTTTCAAACTTAACTAAGCTGCAATGTGTTTTATGTTTGTAAATGTGGCTTTGTTTGAGAGAGGTCTCAATACCAGCTTCTCATAGCTCATCACAAAGTATTAGAAAACTCTTTTTACCTAGCATAAGGCCGGCTTCTGAGCTGATAAGGGCTGGAGAGCTTCTGACTTCTATTTTATTATTTTTGAGTGGAGAGGCTGCTCAGTACTTTCACGTCTTTTGTTTCTTTGATATGCATAATCATGTGTAAGTTGAACACCCAATTTTTCACTATTTTCACCCGTTTGATCAAGTCTATATTGTACATATAATCTTGTGTGATTTCAGAAAGCTAAATGATGCCAGAGGGTGAAGTCAATAATCAATGAATATAAAGCAAAGAGTTTGAAATACCTCAACTGGTGCACTTGATGAAAGCTGGTGTGATTTTGAGCATGAAACAATACTTGGAAGGGAGCTGTTTGACCCTTCTGACTTCTATTTCTCTTTGAGCTTTTCCAGATGATTTCAGAAGGTGGTGAGAAGGCTCCCTGGTGGAGCAGTGGTTGGAGGGTGATTTGCAGATGAGTTTTGCCCATAGAGGGTCTTCTCACACCTGTGCACATCCTTTGGTTCCCCAGCCCAAATGTGACATTTCATGTGGCTTAGCTCCTTGTAGCAATGTGTTTTAAGACTTAGCCAGACCACCCTTGTGGTGAATGTTGCCTGATGTTCAGCCTCACCGCTTCCTTCTCGTGCCCCATTAACTTCCAGCAGTCCCACGGTCATTTGGGCCACCCAGAAATACCGTAAATGTCCCATCTGGGATGTTTCAGTGAGGCCTCCTCCAAATGGCACCGTTTATGGGTCTCTAATGCGTTGGTACTTCTGAACATAATGAGCAGTTGCAACATTTTCTCAGGAGTTTCTGGCTCGTGCTCTCTCTGGAGTGTCAGGAGTGGAAGCTCCCAGCAATCAGTAATTAAGGTACAGTCTGAGGAGAGCCATGCATGAAGAGAGAACCTATGCATGTATTTCCTGTTTCATGACAGAGTGGCTCTAGTGACCATCCCAACAGATAAGTGTTAG